GTTGCTTTGACCAGGGCTTGAACCCGGGTGCTGATGAGTGAAAGCGCGCACTGCTTACCACTACACCACAGCGGTCGCAAATTGAGATATTACATATATAAAAGAAATACCGATATTTGCCGAAATATTGAAAAAATATACATATATAGGTACATATTTACATACATAAATATACATATCAGTAAAAACTTTACGGTTCTAAAAAACTGTTTGAACAAAAAAAAATCGTATGTACATTAGAGTGGTCCAAAAAAATGAAGTCGGAGTTTTAATGCCGACACACCCTAGGATTGATCTATATCGAAAAAAATATACCCCTATTTTTTTATTTTGAAATCAAAAAATATTTAGGGAATGCTCAAAGCGCTCAAAGTTTTCCATGTATTTTATATGGAGAAAAAACAATTTTTCGTAGAAATGGTATAAAACTCTTGAAAATCAATATTTTTCGACCGGAAAACTGTGGTTCTCTTCAGGAGGCTTCCAGTATTAATATACAATTGTTGATTTAACCATTTTTTATGATTAAAGATTTTTTATTGGTCCCCCATTGTATTTTCTAAGAGCTTTGGAGGACCTATAAAATATAGTTATCATGAAAAAATTGTTAAAGAAACAATTGAGTATTATTACTGGGAATCTCCTGAAGATATGTAAGGTTTTCCGATCGAAAAATATTGATTTTCAAGAAGTCTACACTATTTCTACGAAAAGTGGTTTTTTCTCCATATAAAATACATGGAAAACTTTGAGCGCTTTGAGCACTACCTAAATTATTTTTTATTTCAAAATAAAAAAATATGGGTATATTTTTTTCGGTATATAACAATCCTAGGGGGTGGCGGCATTAAAAATCCGACCTTATTTTTTTTGCATACATTTTTGGACCACTTTAATGTACATACATATATACGCATGAAAAAACAACTTTTAATTCCTGCTTTAGCTTATTTCTCGTGATTATAAACACAAACCAAACCCAAAAGAAACAAAAAAATTCAAGTATTTACTTGCAAGATTTGCCCCGCAATACCCCTTCTGCTTGCACATACATTCAGCAAAAGCAGGATTCCATAAAGAATAAGCAGCAGAAAACAAGTCAGAGCTATAAGAACCAAACAAAAAAAAACCCGCGCGAAAAAGCTATTTAATAGCTAACTGACTTAACGAAGTTCAGACAAAAAATAAAAAATAAATAACAGCAAAGAGTTTGCATTTTTACATACATATGTTATTACATATATTTATTGCCGTTGCTAGTGCCCTACAAATTCACATATAAATCATCAAAAAGTACATATTAGCAAGCAATTCCTTACCTCCCATAAAAGTACTACTTAGCGCGTATTAACATACGGGCATATATACAAACATACCAACGTTAACAGACCCCGCACTTCTTACCAGCATCCGACACCATACACACAAACCTACAGTACGGTCATCTGCAACTCACTGCTCAGCTGGGTGTCCAGATTGTTTAAAAATATAGCGCAATTTCTGCAAAAAAAATCGCAAAAAAACGCCAATTTTTTTTTGTATTTAATTCATGAAACCGATTTAACAAATCTTTTATTTTAAAAATTAGATCTTGTTATCATATAGTTTTTCAAACCAAAAACGAATATAATACCTTCAGAAGGTAATAATAAATAACACAAATCGCTTATATAATAGTGATGTACAAACAATTTTCTTTACAAATACGCATACTTTTTAAAAATATTGGTTTCAACACATTTTGCAATAGGACTGCGCAATTATTAAATTTATTATTCATATTAATTGATTAATCGCACGATCCGCTTTTAAGAGCTCGGCGCTAAAAATAAAATAAAAACCTATAATAAGGCGAGATATTTCCACAATTTCTTCAAAATCACATATAGTCTGAATGATTTACATTTCTGTTGTTGTCATATATTGATCTATTCAACCTTGATAACATACTGTTTGATATTGGAAACGTTTTGCAGCAGAAACTATTAGTCTTCATATAAAACTTTATTCGAACTATTGAATTAAGGCTTTCCAACGTCATCGTATTTCGAATCTTACTTTTTGTTGAATTTTATCCTTGAAACCTCGTCCGGATTTCCTAAATCCCTCGGTTCGTATCGCTGGATTGTTAAATAAATGCAATCGATGACCAAATTGTGGTACAATTAACTTTATTGTACAACAAACAATTTACAATACTCGCTAATACAGTAAAAACACTTAACAATACTTGTTAAAGCAATAACAGCGCTTAACTAAACTTGGTAACACAATTAAACTTATAGCTTGCTTATTCGCAACTCGCTTCTCTGCTTACATTACTTGTAGCTTGTAACTAACTCACCTCGCGGTGGCGGCGCCCTTATATACCTGCGCTGGCACTTATGGCAACTCTAGAACATTCTGAAGTTTATCGCTCATTCTCTTTCTCTCGCTGTTCGCAGTATTCGTCCAACTTGACGTTTCTCTTTGTGGAACATTCTACGTCATTCCTCGAACATTCTGCCTATTTCTCGCTGTTGCGGTTTTCACTCCGTAAGCAATTATCCAAATTTGTTCAGAGTCGGATGGAATGGTTCTGAAAAAAGTTATTCCATGGGAAAGTTAAAAGATTTAAATATTCAGTTTCCGCTGCTTTTCTTTCCTTTAAAGTCAAATAGTGAATTGGCAGGTCCCTGAAACTCGCTCTCTTGTGATTCACACACCTTTCTGGTGATAAAATCAAAGCTTTCTGAAAGTATTTAATTGACTAGGTAATCGTTTCAAAAGTTAATCGATTAGGGTGATTAAACATTTTTGACAGCATATTAGCTTCTTAAGTTAAGTTTATCACGCAGTTCATTAGCCTCTAAAGTTATCGTGGAAAACTAAATTTTCTATATTTTTATAATTGGAAAGAATTTATTTGAAGGCAAAAAATCGCCAAATATCGCCAATGGCGATTTCATAAATTTTTACGCGCAAATATCAAAAACAAATCGCCAAATTGGCGCGAAATCGCCAAATCTGGACACTCTGCTCTCAGTAGCGATAAAATTCTTTACTCCCAACAGCTAACAACATACTCGTATATACAAACGGGCATATATCATTACAAAAGCAACAAAATTGCATTCAGCGTTTATCGCTTCCTCCTCTGCTTCGCTAGCAAACATAGTTACATACACACTAACTATTGTTAACCGCCTTCGCTTAACATTGCATGCTATTAACGTTCATACATATACTTACATACATACAGTATACTAACCCAGTAGTGCATATACCTTGCACATCATATGTAAAAGGAAACGATTAAGAAGGGCGGTAAAGTAAAATTACTCAAATTATATATTTGAATTAAAATAATATAAAGCCAAGTAAGCCAAAATTCGATCGATTGTACGGATACTTACTTATATCATCCCCTTTAATCAAAATACACTAAAAAAAAAATTATAATAATAATGAAAATAAAAAATCTTTAAATTTATCGGATAGATAAATGCCATCTGATACAACTCCGGTAAAGGAGCAAAAAGCCCCAATTCCTTTAAAAGCGCAAAAAATGGTCGATGATGATAAAACCCCTCAGTGCACACCTGCAGAGTCTACACGATCAATGCAGGGTACCAAGCAAAAAAATACTAAAAACCACTCAGCCGCAAGATTTATTTCAGACAGTGACAGACTAACAAGATATTGCACTCGGTTCTCCTCCGCCCCAATACAAGATAACTCGGAATCGGTTCTAGAGATGAAACCCATAACCTTGACAATTTTTGGGTCCGACTTCAAGAGGCATACGATACAATTATCGAAATGGATGATTCCGTTTTTCCCGCTAATTTTATGTAAATAAGCTTGTTTAAATTAAATAATTAAATCAATATTATTCCAACCTTTTTGTCGAATTTAGCTACCATTTTGGGAAGTGTGATTGAATCCTTCCTCTTTTCTCCTGCTTTCAAAAACCATCCCTGTGGGTGGGAGCGTAAAATTTTAGGAAAAAGCTACTTACAAAACCTTTCATCAAATTTTTTCGTGATATATCTTTTTTAATATTTTTTTTTTTTGGATGACGCCAGTGGAAAGCGAAACCTTCCATCGTTTCTGCTAGATTTCCATAGAACGACGCCTTTTTTTGGTAGCTATTATATATCGCGTGAGACTCTCGTTGTTCTTGGACTGGATACTATCTATATATTATTTTCAACTATTGTGCCGGAATGGCTACTGGGATCAGTCAGGCAATTACACAAGACGCTTCATTAGAATTTGTGGGGACAGCTCTCAGCGGAATTAAGCGATACACAGTTAGTTTCCAAGCGTTGCATTTAACCTCCATTGCTTCGGCTCAAATCGAAGCACCACAAAAGAAGAGTGAGCTGAGCACCCAACTGCAAAGGAATCTGCAACTCAAAGCCTTTTTGGAAGCATACTCGAGGTGGGTATTAAAGTTAAGTCGATCATCAATAAAAACGAGATGTTTAATTGCGCGCTTGGATGTTATAGACGCTAAAACTAATCTTTTCTACGCCTTTCCTGCGGCTTATTTGGATTGTTTTTGCTTCGTGATCATCGAGGCTTATGTATTAAATTTGTGTAAACGTATAAATGTATGTATGTATGAACAAAATGTACCAAAAAACATATTTTCATAATTTTTAGAGCTTTAATTATTTTTAATGTTGTCAAAAAATGATTTAATGTCAAGATAATGCTGAGTTAAACTACCTACTTTTTTATGCCATGATTATAAAGAATATTTGTTTTCAAGACACAGAAAGCATTAAGTTTCAGACCCTAATGTGACCCCTTACTTAGACTCATATTTGCGTGCCCTTCTAAAAAGGCAAATAAATATGCTCTTTTTTGAGCTCATAATGAGGGTTACAACTCAGAATTCTGAGACTTTTTTGACCCTAAAATGAGTCCGAATTTTTGTAGGGTATAAAGTTTAAAACGCTTTAACGTATTTTATTTTGACGCAATGCTTTGTTTGTTATCATAATACACAGGCCCTCTAAGGGAGGCGTTACTGAAGGTGAAGGAGGAGCCACTCAGGCAGCTGTGGAACTTCGTTTCTCATACTCACTTCTCGAAAAGCTTATACAATACTTGGATCGAGCTACAATCAATATGAAGCTACTTAAGCCATCAACGACATTTAGTAGAAGATCTTCCTTCAAAACAGCTTCTCGGGATATTAAATTCTTTTCTAAAGTAGTACTCCCTCTAATGGAAAAGTATTTCTCCACACATCGTAACTATTTTGTTGCAATGGCAACAGCAACTAACATAACAGGGGCAGCATCTTTAAAAGAAAAGGAAATGGTTGCATCAATATTTTGCAAGTTGGCATCGCTTCTGCGGAATCGTCTCAGTGCTTTTGGACCGGATGTAAGAATTACTGTCAGATGCCTTCAAGTATTGGTAAAGGGCATAGATGCTAAAACTCTGGTAAAAAACTGCCCAGAGTTCATAAGAACTTCTATGTTAACATTTTTCAATCAAACTGCTGATGATCTTGGTAATACTATTCTTAACTTACAAGAGGGCAAATATAGTCATCTTCGGGGCACCCACCTTAAGACGTCAACTTCGTTAGGCTATGTCAACCAAGTGGTACTGCCTGCGTTAACAGCCATGTTTGATCATTTAGCCGCTTGTGACTATGGCAGTGATCTTCTTTTGGACGAGATACAAGTGGCTTCATACAAAATATTAGCGGCTTTATACCACCTCGGTACTGATGGGACACTAACACATGATCGCAAATATCTTAAAACCGAAATAGAGAGACATAGACCTGCTCTGGGCTCGTGCTTAGGTGCATTTAGCTCCTGCTTCCCTGTAGCTTTCTTAGAACCACATCTCAACAAGCATAATCAATATTCTCTACTTAATCGTATTGCAGATCATTCATTAGAAGCCCAAGATATAATGGTGCGAATGGAAAGTTGCATGCCCAACTTAGAAGCTATTCTTGGAGAGGTTGACCTCTTTGTTGAATCGGAAAAAACATATACCGATGCACCGCATATAATAGATGTTATCCTACCCCTACTTTGTGCCTACCTTCCCTTTTGGTGGGCACAGGGACCAGATAACGTAAGCCCCACTAGTGGTAATCATGTTACCATGGTTACTGCAGACCATATGAACTCACTTTTACGTAACGTTTTGAAAATGATCAAGAAGAATATTGGGAATGATAATGCACCCTGGATGACAAGAATCGCTGCATATACACAGCAAATAATAATTAATACCTCCGAAGAGTTGTTAAAGGATCCATTCCTTCCGCTAGCAGAACGTGTAAAGAAACGGACAGAAAACATGTTTCACAAAGAAGAGAGTATGCGCGGCTTTATTAAATCAGCTACGGACGACACCTCCCAAGTTGAAACCCAGTTGCAAGAAGATTGGCAACTACTTGTCCGTGATATTTATTCGTTTTACCCACTTCTTATTAAATATGTCGACTTGCAGCGAAATCATTGGCTTAAAGACAACATACCTGAAGCTGAGGACCTCTACAACCATGTTGCTGAAATATTCAACATATGGTCTAAAAGTCAATACTTTTTAAAGGAGGAGCAAAATTTCATTTCGACCAACGAAATCGACAACATGGCGCTTATTATGCCAACAGCAACAAGACGATCTGCTATTACTGAAGGAGCTCCGGTAACTGGAGGCAAAGTTAAAAAGAAGAAGAAAAACAGAGATAAGAAACGTGATAAAGATAAGGAGGTTCAGGCCAGTCTAATGGTAGCTTGTTTGAAGCGTTTGCTTCCAGTTGGTTTAAATTTATTTGCTGGTCGGGAGCAGGAACTCGTGCAACATTGCAAAGATCGCTATTTAAAAAAAATGCAAGAGTATGATGTCATCGAATTTGCAAGAAATCAGTTAACATTGCCTGACAAATTGGACCCCTCAGATGAAATGTCATGGCAACACTATCTCTACTCAAAATTAGGTAAACGAGAGGAACTTGCAGATGAACAATCACTTGAAAAGGCCTCAAATCAAAATGATAAGAACAAAGACAAAACGCAGGAAACTGTCGACCGAATAGTAGCCATGGCCAAAGTACTTTTCGGATTGCATATGGTAAGGATATTGGTTTAGCAATTTTAATAAGTTCTATCCTAGACAAATGGAAATCTGAATAGGGCTACATCAAATAAAAATGTATTTCCTTTTCGGCAATTTTTTATTTTTAACTTTTCTTAATATTGATTAAATTATTATGATTTAATTTCAACATTTCTGATTACTTTTTACATTATCGCGAAACGGTATCCACATAACATCAAACTATTATTGCTATTGAAATTTCGGACCTCGCCACATTTACAGATTGACCATCCCCAACAACAAAGCAAGAACGTCTACAGGAGTGTTGTATCTATACAAAGGAAACGTGCCGTTATTGCATGTTTCCGCCAGACGTCTCTACATTCTCTACCCAGGTTTTTACAAAATTAGAACAGTTTTCGCTTGCTCAATACACTAACAGTCACAATGCCCGTAGAAGAAAATAGTAGTGTGTTCTTTTAATGTCTTTGGAGGATGTAAAATATTTATGCCACTATCATTTCATTTGTTTGGTAGTTCATACTTTCCGTGTCTTTTTCAATATTGTATTCTATGTAAATTCGTTACTAATTAATTTTCCGTACTAATCCCAATTATATGGTGCATAGACTTTGTAATGCTTTAACTAGCTGATACCGTGTATTGTGTCCTTAATTCCTTCCTAGGCATCACGTCCTAAGCAAAGAAGCAAACGTTGGAATTCGAAAATTACATTGGCCCGACGCCAGGCAGTCATATCCAGCTTACGCGCTATACATCTCTATCGCATGAGCAGGTACACTTCCACCTGTTGGTTTTTTGCCCAAACCATAATCGAAAAATCATTGGAAACTACTCTCCCACAAAAGTCTCTATGTACAATCTCGGCAAAGCATGATCTTTTCATACAAATGTATGTACACATGTACTGATTTCATACATTTGTAAAAAAAACTCACTGAGATAAAATGTAGTTGAATACTCCTTAGAAAACTAACCATACTAACGGAACGTATGTAAGCATGCTTGTTTTCTTTTTTTCCAATTTCGAAGCAAATGCTAATTCGTTTACTTGTTTACGTTGACAGACATCGGGCTTGCAATATTTTTGCGCGATCTTACTACGAACAATGGCTTCAGGAAGAAAATGTAGGCCAAGAGGTAATGATTGAAGATTTGACACAAACGTTTGAGGAATCGGAGAAATCGAAGAAAGACGAAGAAGAGTCCGAAGGTAAGCCAGATCCTCTAACGCAATTGGTTACCACGTTCTGTAGAGGGGCCATGACCGAAAGGAGTGGAGCTTTGCAAGAGGACTTGCTCTACATGTCATACGCACAAATAGCCGCAAAGTCTTGTGGAGAAGAAGAAGAAGAAGGTGGTGATGAAGAAGGAGGCGGAGAGGGTGGGGAAGAAGGCGCTAGCATACATGTAAGTCAGCAAAAATATGTCAAATTTATCACCTAAAAATTTTAATGCTTACTACGTTGAAGCAACCAAGTCATGTTGCTTCCTATGTAGCATCTCACAGAAATCGTGCCGATGGATATAATAAATCTTCAAAACGTTTTTCACTAAATGGATCAGGTTGCACTCCTAGCGTAGGGCTGCCAGACGTCCTGGCTTTCCAGGATTTCTCCTGATTTAGACAAATTGTCCTGGTGTCCTGGTCCACACTTAAATTGTCCTGGTTTTAAATGAAGGTCAATGCTATGGTTTTTGCTATGAAAATAGGTTAAGTAGTCGAAAATTTATGACGAAACGTTTTTTCTGTCAGTTGAATATCTGGTTAATTTACTTCCTTTCTGTTTAGTTTATTTGGTTAAAATCTGAATTTTTTTTCAAGCAAATGCCAAAAAGTGCAAGTTCCTGATCAGGTGCACGGCTGAGGGGTCATACATAAGTACTACCCAGTAGATAATTTCAAGAGCTAAAATCTCATCCAAAAGGCCTTTCTGAACGTTATTCCCTTATCCTCCATTTTTTGGATGGAGCGGTACAAATTGAATGGCTTCTGCTTTCGCTACTCAAAAAGATCTTTCAGAAGAGCTTTTGTAGGACACTATAACGAAGCGTTTTTCTCTGAAGGCCCCGACGCTTCTGTTTTCTGCAGGGGTATACTCGCCATGCCCAGGGTCCGTTACAATAAATTTATATTGTGGGATCTTTGCAAATAGTAATTTATTTAATTATTCTTATCCTCTAACACGTGTTAATTCTTATTTCCAACGAACACAATACGATTAACGGTGTATAAATTCCTAACGGTGCTATTCTGTCGACGCGTTGCTGTTGGGTGACGATGAAGCTATTCTGTCGGCGCTCTGCTGACGGACGGCGTCGGGGCTACTATGCCGGCGCTCTACTGCTTGCGACACCGACGCTGCAATATCGGCGCTCTGCTGATCTACGACGTCGGCGCTCTATGGCGCTGTGAGGGGCGTCACCGTCACGCGGGTTCACGGTGAAGTGTGGAGTGGCGGCGCAGCACCTTTCAATAGCCAAGCCTTGTGTGGTAACAGAGCCCGTATACAAGTCAAGGTCTATTTGTTGGTGGCTGGGCGTTCACTACCACGGCTCCGCTACTGACGCTTTGCTGTTGGCGATGCCAGCGCGCTGCTCTGTCGGCATTCTCTGCTGGGCGACGTCGGCGCGGTTCGGTCGTGGCTCTGCCCCTGAGTGACGACGGCGTTGCCGTCATGCGGGTTCACGGTGGACTGTGGAGCAGTGTTGCCAGAACTTTTTGGGCCGACCTGCTAAATTGTGCAAAAGAAACGGCTAAAATATTTCAACTAAATTTAACATGTTTTATTTGAATAAAGTTGAGCGACTAATAAATTCATTAAATTATTTTTAGTTATCAAAGGAATCTGTCGTTATACTTACTTAATGGTGCATTTACATGGTATGAATCTGTTCATAAGCCGTATGAATTTTCCTATAAAAGAAGCACCAACTCTATGAAGAAATGAAGGAATGCGATATATATTTAACAATTTTGACTTATGTATATACTTGGCAATATTTTTTTTGTAAACAACAAATAAAAAAATTTTATTTTGTGCTAAATAGCTTCGAAACTAGTAGCTTATTTTTTTGTTAAATGTGCCTTAAAAACGACCTACTGCCAATAAAGCCTTGTGGATTGCTATTTTTCCATATTTGTAATGCTTCCATTTAAACATCTTAGTGGGAAAACAGTTTTTTGTTCACAATTGCTTGTTTACGAAACGCTTGGTATAAGTTGAAATCATAGGGAGGCCGTTTTCTTCCGTTTCTCAGGGGATTTTATACTTGAAAAGGCACCAAAATATGTATGCAATACTTCGGAGTGTATATATGTAATATAAAAAAGAATAAGAGGTACTATAAGAAAATGTACCCAAAATTTAGGAGCAAATGAAAAAATGCTCATTGAAAATAGTTCACATGTATAAATTTAAAGATATAACTTAAGCGGTTACAGCGCTATACAAAGGCAAAAGTTAGAAAAAATAGCAATGCGGTTTGAAGGAAACATGAAGCAATAAAATGCTTGTTTTGTTAATTCTCTGAACCTTTTAAGATATGGCACTCTATTATTTGCAGTAGTTTGCAAATATTCACTAATGGTTCTAAAATCACAACCATTTTCGTGGGATGCTTTTTTTTGATTTCGAATTGGAAATAATTACGCATTTACCGAAATATCGTATCCTGCATTTTTAAAGCAAGAAGAGCATAAACT